GTCCGCAGGCGCCAGTTTCGGCCCAAAACGGCGAAAAACGGGCTTCTGGGGCACGACTGGGCCGATTTTTGTGCACCGATGCGAAAAAATCGCCTAGGGGGCTTGTTGGGGGTGCGCTTGGAGATGCTCTAACTCTTACGTTTCACTTTTGCCACTCTAGCCTTGTTATAGTGGCATAAACAAAATTAATTTGACCTCCGGATATTTTGATTTTGCCACTCAAAATGAATTTTGTGATACACTAAAAAGGTAAGAATGGCAGAAGTGCGATGTCATTTTTTAGAGTGACACAAGAAAAATGGGCAAATGATAGATGTGCTTTTGTCACTCTAATATTTTGCCCATTTTCCTAACCACGTCATGCCAGCAACGCTGCAAGCGAAAACATCCAGGTAAACCTAGAGAATGCTAGGAGCTCATGTTCACGACAGGATTATAGAGCTGCCCGATCCTTACGAACTGAGCCGATCAAGAGGGGTCAATCTCTCTCACTTTGCCTTGCACGGTTACAGTGCCTTTTGGCCGCACTTGCTTCTTCATGCTGGAGAATCCGCCGATCATCGTGACTGGGATGCAAGGTGCCCGGTATGTAATCTTGGTCGGTGAAGGTGTTGGGGAACATAGTAATTTAAAAAAAAATCCTACGCACACGCTGGATCATAGTGATGCATAGCAACGAGAGGGGGGAGTGTTGTATACGTACCCTTGTAGACCGTAAGCGGAAGCGTTTATCAACGCGGTTGATGTAGTCGTACACCTTCACGATCCGTCCCGATCAAGTACCGAACGTACAGCACCTCCGCGTTCAGCACGCGTTCAGCTCGATGACGTCCTCGCCTTCTCGATCCAGCAAGAGGGGCGAAGTAGTAGATGAGTTCCGGCAGCACGACGGCGTGGTGACGATGTTGGTGAAGAGCAATCTCCGCAGGGTTTCGCCTAAGCACTATAAAAACTATGACGGAGGATAAACTAGAGGGGACGGGGTAGCCGGCACATGGCTTGGTGTTTTTTGATCTCTCTTGGGTGCTAGTCCTGCCCCTCTATTTATATATTGAGCCTTGGGGTCGAAACTTGGAGTAAAAGCCTCCACAAAGTCGGTTTCACCCGAAAGGCAAGAGTCCTTCTCGGACTCCAGGGCCAGACTCCAGGGTTCCCGGCGTCTGGCCCCTGGACTCCGCAAAACTTCCTTTTGCACTTTCCAAAAACCTTGTGGGCTTTCCCTTTTGGCCCAAATAAAGTGTTCTCGTACCCAAACATTTCGGGAAACATCTGAACCCCTTCCGGTGAATTCCGGAACCCTTCCGGAGTCCAAACACTATTATCCCATATATCAATATTTATCTCCGAACCATTGGAGAGTTCCTCGTCATGTCCGTGATCTTATCCGGAACTCCGAACAACATTCAGTCACCAACATACATAACTCATAGTACTATATCGTCAACGAACATTAAGCGTGCGGACCATACGGGTTCGAAAACTATGTAGACATGACCGAGACACCTCTCTGGTCAATAACCAATAGCGGGACCTGGATGCCCATATTGGCTCCTACATATTCTACGAAGATCTTTATTGGTCAGACCGCATAACAACATACATTGTTCCCTTTGTCATTGGTATGTTACTTGCCCAAGATTCGATCGTCGGTATCTCAATACCTAGTTCAATCTCGTTACCGGCAAGTCTCTTTACTTGTTCCGTAATACATCATCCCGCAACTAACTCATTAGTTGCAATGCTTGCAAGGCTTATAGTGATATGCATTACCGAGTGGGCCCAGAGATACCTCTCCGACAATCGGAGTGACAAATCCTAATCTCGAAATACGCCAACCCAACAAGTACCTTCAGAGACACATGTAGAGCACCTTTATAATCACCCAGTTACGTTTGTGACGTTTGGTGGCACACAAAGTGTTCCTCCGGTAAACGGGAGTTGCATAATCTCATAGTCATAGGAACATGTGTAAGTCATGAAGAAAGCAATAGCAACAAACTAAACGATCAAGTGCTAAGTTAACGGAATGGGTCAAATCGATCACATCATTTTCCTAATGATGTGATCCCATTAATCAAATGACAACTCATGTCTATGGTTAGGAAACTTAACCATCTTTGATCAACGAGCTAATCAAGTAGAGGCATACTAGTGACACTCTGTTTGTCTATGTATTCACACATGTAATATGTTTTCGGTTAATACAATTCTAGCATGAATAATAAACATTTATCATGAAATAAGGAAATAAATAATAACTTTATTATTGCCTCTAGGGCATATTTCCTTCAGAAGGATCACCGAAGAGATTCATTCCATCTGGATGTTGTTTGAAGATTGTAGGGAGGGGCTGGTTCCTGAAGGGGTCTCATCGACGATGATGGTAACACGGTTGATAGGTTCAGGACCCAGATGGCTGATAGCACTACGCCCCCTACCTATTTTGTATTCAAGGGATACGACCATTCGATCTTGTAATTGGAGGGAAACAAATCTCCTGCAACCGTTAATTCCTTGAAAGGGAGCTAATGTTCTTATCACTTAAGAATGACAACTCCCACGCGGCGCGTGACTAGAAAGGCCCTAGATACCTGGGCCGATGATATGATCCATTTGCACCCATAAAAGCTTTCCTCTTCGGTGGGTACCCTTACTCACGAATTTGGGATTATTCTTCATTGGCACAATCTCATAAGAATCATGTTGGATTCTCTCATGAAATCTTGAGTAGGTAGAGTTGATTCTCACAACATATGAATAGCTAAGTCCTACTTTACTGCATTCATCTCGAGACATGATCTTGTAGTTAATAGAAACATTTGAGTCTGACTTTATTGTATTCTAGCATGCTCTTGTAGATTACAACCCAAAAACCAGTTGCATTTTTTTCATGGGATGAGGGATCTAGGCACGACCTTTGGATCTCAACATGTTGCACACTAGTTTTTTTCGCTTGTGGAGGTCAACTTTTCTTAGCCCTTCATCCACTCTACTGTTCGAGCATACAAGTCACAATCCGAGTCCAAACTGAAGTTTGGAGGTCTGAGGTGATTGAGGGGCACATTATTGTCCTCAAAGAATGACACATGCTCCCTAGTCTTAGAGAGACGCTCAGCGAGGCAACTGATGTTAAGACACTACGACTAGACGATGTTGCCATGCAAGTGACTAAGAAACTCCAGTAGTTCCCCTAAAAATTACCCGCATAAGTGGTTTTTTTGGCCTTCCCGGAAAAGTTAGGGGAAGTTTTATAAAAGCAACTTTTGTCGGTTCCCCTAATCTTCTCCCCCTGACTACATTTTTATTTTAATTTTTAATTAAACAAAAAAGAGGTAATCCCCAGGACTCGCTAGTCAGTGACACCAACGGTGGTGGGGTGGCTGCCGGCAGGGGGCATGGCGTGGCGGCGGGTGCGGATGTGACGCTTCTGACGCGGGCGAGGCGGCGGTGGGTGCGGACGGCGGCGGCGAAAGGCACGGGCGAGGCAGCGGCAAGCACGAGTGGTGGCGGTGGGCAGTGCGGGTGAGGCGGCGACAACCGGGGCGGGAGAGGAGGCGGCCGGTGACGGCACAATGGCTCTCCGGTGAAGGTTCGGCAGGGCGGCGGCGTTCCAGGTGACGGCGCACGGAAGTTTCAGGTGGTTGCAATCCCGCCAAAAAGGTACGGGAAGGCCATCCTCTCGTAAATCAATGGGGAGAAATGACCTCTTTTATGGGATCCTTTAAAGATAAAGCCAGTCTATGAGAACTGTTGGAGAGTTTTTTTTTTGCCACAACTTCCGATAAAACGACGGTTATTTTAGAGATAGGGGAATTGTCGGTGTCTCTCTAAAGAATGGGCATGTTGTTGGTTTTCGTGGCGGGAAACGGAAAATAGTATGAACATCATAAATAGTGTTACATGGTGTTTGAGTTGCCGGAGATTTAAATAACGAGAATGTTATCTAGCGAAGGTCTCCTGAGGGGGATGATAAGCGCACGTATTTTTCAGGTTTAGTTGCGACACGAGACCAAACGGTGTCGGTCTCTGTTCGTTCGTGCCTCAAATTTTTCTTATTTTTAGAAACAGCCATGCACCTCTGAATAAAATGTTATGCCTCTCGCAAATGCCATCCCTCACAACGAACGTTCGTCAACTATTGGGATCCTAAAATAATTCGACACAAATGCCTTCCAAATTTCCGGGAACAAGACGGCGACGGCTTGTCATTTGTGGACGGAGAACGGATTTGCTGCCTGCTGCGTTTGTTCGTTCCATCGTACTCATGCCCCCAAGGGAAAGAAAAGAAAGAAAGAAACAAACCAACCGGATCCAGTGTGATGAGTCATGCGTGCGACGACGCGGCGCCGCCTCTCGCCCCACCGCATCGCCACCCGAATCCATTCTCCGCTTGAATTTAGTTTCCTCTCTCTCCCCTCGGACGATATGATTGGCCGATCCACCCATCTTGCTGCTTACGTTTTCCGTCTGTTTCCGCGAGCAACCTCTTAAACCCAACCAAACCCCCAACC